GCACAGCTTTGTTTTCTTCTGTTTGTGCGCTAAGACGCATGTGTGCGTGGCGAGCATGCGTACTGCAGCCCACCGCGATGATCCACTGCCCTGATTTCCTCCCTCCTGCTCCTCTGCAGAGCTCCCCTCCAGAATACAAATTCTGCTCGTCAGTGAGTCGGAGACACACCGTCTCACCCTCCCAGCATCTCTCTGCCCCTCTGCCAGCTCCTCTTTTCATCTCTCATCAAGTGCATGGTGCATGTTGGAGGCTCTGCGTTAGCTACGTTCCTCCCGTTTCATTGAGCCTTATCTGATGATTCATACTGCGTGCATGTTCTTTTATTTAATCCTAAACAAATGGGGGTTAGTGAAAGAAAAAACACAAGTTGGCTGTTGAGGGCAGGTTTAGATTTTCCTGACTTTCCTGCATCACTGCTAAACGGATGCTACTTGAAGGGATGATCGTATTTTAGAAGATAGGCTTTAGAGATGCAGGTAGACTCTGATTCCTTTGAACAGAACCGGGCCAGTCGTGTCCAGCAGTCTGCAGAGTGAAGCTGAGAATCACAGAATCACACTGATGCATTATAGGTGTGTAAATGTGTTCCATAAATAAGATAGTGAGCATATAAAAGGCACCCTGCTCCTATTTATAGTGTCTTTGTTGATAATAGATTAGATTATGGCATTAAGCATCACAAGCTGGCAGCATTTTTAGGATTAAAATAATTCTGAAAAACAAGCCGTCGCTGATCCCGGGTTCAGATTCTTCCTTCAAACGGAGAGACTGTGTGGAAGCTTCATGTTTTCCTGCGTGGACTCTTGTTTGAGGCTGCGCTGCCTGTGAGATCTAACAGAGAGAATTGTGAATGAGAAGGAGCGAATTGAGAATGAGGAGGAGGAGGAGGAGCAGAGCTGCGGAATGAGGCCAGGGAGGAAGAAAAGTGCTTCATCATCCGCGGCCATCCATCCTACTTATCAGCCCAGACAAAGGGGATGAGAGGAGCCCGTCGACGCGGCGCTTTGATAACCGAAAACATTCGAGTGTAAACATGTGATGTGTGAGATAATGATAGCGAGGGCAGCACAGCGCTGGTCTGCAGCTGATTCTGTATGTTTTAGTGCTACGATGTGATCAACACCATCACCTGCTGCTGTAGATGAAACAGTAAACCTACCAAGGATCTGATTTTAATCCCCTTTGTGTTTGTTTTCCTCCTAAACACACGTATGGACACGTTTTTTAATCAGATCTTTAATAACCGGTTCTGTTCTCTAATCTGTCCGTAGAACCCACGGCGGCTACAGAAGCGCCTCCTGATGGAGACGCTGGGAAACAAACATTCACTGGAATATGTTGAGCTGCATTGTTTAGGGGCTGCAGGTGTCTCGGTGGTTAGCTCCGTTAGCGCCTCACAGCTAGAAGGTCTCCGGTTGGCGTCCCGGTGAGGACACCCGGGATCTTTCTGCGTGGAGTCTCCATGTTCTCCCCGTGCAGCGTGGGTTCTCTCCGGGTTCTCCGGCTTCCTCCCACAGTCCAGAAACATGCTGAGGTTAATTGGTGATTGTAAATTGTCCGTAGGTGTGAATGTGAGTGTGCTTGGTTGTCTGTCTCTAAGTGTAGCCCTGTGATAGACTGGTTACCTGTCCAGGTGAACCTGCCTTCACCCTGAGTCAGCTGGGATAGACTCCGCCCCCCATGACCCTGGTGAGGATGAAGGTGTAGAGATGATGGATGTATTGTTTAGCACCAGACTGACGTAGTCCGGACTAAATGCCAGGTGAGGAACGACCTGGACAGCTCTGAGGATCATCAGCAGGCATCTGCTCCACTGAAGTTTCCTCGAGCAAGACGGCGAATCTCCTCCACCGTCTATTGACTCGAGGCTTTATAAATAGGGGCAAGCGAAAAGAGAATTTTCCAACAAGGCATAAATAAATGATCACAACCTTTGGCGAGCGAAGGCTACGCTAGCTTCCAGAAAACAGAGTGGATTGAAAAGAAAAAAGGCGACACAGGTGCGCTGCTTTATCGGCCCTGAGCTCGTGATTAACGAGCTCTCGGGTGATTTTTGAAACAATATCTAAAGCTGCCAAGAAGCATCGTCTGTACTGCCTGTTCCTACCGCCAGGACTTGGAAGAATAAAGCAGATTCACTCCCAGCAGAAGAAGCAGCTGACAGTGGCGCTCAGGCTCAGGCCAGCACGCTGCGCTGTCTGATGGGAGGTGTTTTGGGCGCTTACAGGCGGATTTTTCCACACCGAGTGACTGACTGATGCTGTCTGCTGCAGGAATGTCACAGTCATCCACTTATATCTTTCTCATGTTCTCTGTCTGCTCAACGTGGACAATGCCTGACATGCACAGACATAAATAGTCCTCACCGCCTCGAGCCTCAATATTAATGGCTTATAGGGACTTAGCTGTCTCGGCCGCTCTGGCAATTATTATTATGAAATGGAGGGCGGGAGAGACGGAGAGAGATGATCTGAGCGATGGAAAGAAGACACGGTTTGTTAGCATATTATGCAATGGCATAATGTCTGTGGGAATTTTTGAAATGATTGGTCTTCAGCCGGGATGGAAACTCGTTGTAATTAACAGGAAGGAGCAGCAGCAGTCGGCTTCATCTCCTGCTTTGTTGGCAGCGACGAAGAGCCACAGGACAGCTAATCTACCATCAACAAGTCAGCGTTAGAGTACGGTACAGCCCGCTAAGAAGTTCTGTAGAACTTTTCACATCTGTTCCAGGATCAGCAGAGCATCTATTCTGGAGACTCCAGCGCCCAAATTAGGCGTCTGTTAATTTACTGGACCACGTGTGGGGCGGCACCGGGTACACCAGCCCGGCTTCATGTAACCACGTTGTTTGTGTGTTCTTCTTAAGCCCATAAAGCCCGGGACCGTGTCAGCTGAAGGTAGCGAACTCCAGAACACGCAGCTGACATACGCGCTTATGCAATTGTGCGCCTTGATAGGAAAACAAGTGCTGCAGATGCCTCGGGTGTATTTTTGGCCGGCCGTGCTGTACGTCAGCCACTAACATGAGCTCATGATTTATACCAAGTGTTTTATGACTGACATGATGGTGCTCTGATCACATGGACTCCATCAGTGAGCCGTGTCTGTAAATCAGACAGTCCTGTGTGCTGCTGGTGGTTCTGCTGCTTCCTGAACCTTCTTGCATCTGAACACAAAGCGATGCCTCCTCACCAGTGAAGCTGCAGCTGTCTGCTGATTGGCCGTCGCTCCTCTGTGACAGTAAACTGAATGTCTTTGGTGGACATCAGCTTTGGTTTTGGGAAACAGATCAGCTGTTTTTTTAACATTCAGTGACGTTTTATAACAGAAACAACTCGTGTTAATCCTAAAACACAACTGACAGACTCATTGGCTGCAGCTCTGTTTGCTCCTAGCAGCTCCATCCAAGAGGGCTTTTCCTTTCTCACTCTTTTTTTGGTTTCTGGAGCATTTTTGCTTTTATCGTCTAGACAAGGAGAGAGATGAGAGAAAATGAGGAATGGCATGCAACAGCAGCCAGACGCTGACCAGGGACGTCAGTGTGTGACTTTATAGTCCTAACAGCTTCAGTAACCAGCTGCTGGACTTGTCGTGAAGATATTTCCCAGATGTGTGGTCTTCTACTGAAGCTTGTAGGATGACTGTAAATGAGATGACTGAGAACAAGACGTGACCTCGTCATGGCCACTTTCTGACGGCGGTGAAACAAGACACGTATTTGTACTGATTCAAACTGAATTTTCAGGACAGGCTTTTCGATTTGGAGCTGCAGGTAGATCAGTGGTTAGCACTGTTGCCTCACAGCTAGAAGGTCGCCGGTTGGCGTCCCGGTGAGGACACCCGGGATCTTTCTGCGTGGAGTCTCCATGTTCTCCCCGTGCAGCGTGGGTTCTCTCCGGGTTCTCCGGCTTCCTCCCACAGTCCAGAAACATGCTGAGGTTAATTGGTGATTGTAAATTGTCCGTAGGTGTGAATGTGAGTGTGCTTGGTTGTCTGTCTCTAAGTGTAGCCCTGTGATAGACTGGTTACCTGTCCAGGTGAACCTGCCTTCACCCTGAGTCAGCTGGGATAGGCTCCGCCCCCCATGACCCTGGTGAGGATGAAGGTGTAGAGATGATGGATGGATGTTTCTTGTTTTTGCTGGACATTAAATAGAGTGAACTGTGATCTGTAAACCGACGTACGAGGCACCAAACCGTGATTTTTGTGAACCATCTGGAGCTCTTTATTAGTTTTGTTTGTTTGGTAGCTTTAGTGATTTATTTGTTACTTTATTGTTGGTTTTATTGATCTTCTAAGTGCAGAGAAGCGCTGTGAGCTCTGCAGGTAGACGGGCAGGTGGACGACCCGGTTACATGATCGGATAAATAAAGCAGCACAAAGCCAGTGGAGTTGGTTTGGACAATAGACGGTGTTCCTACAGCAGCAGTGGCTCTTAGAGTTTGAGTTTGAGATGGATTTTTGATCCACTACAGATCCAGCTTTTGATGTGACACTGATACTGATTTAAACTGATGGTGAATGTTGAATAAGGTTTATCAGAACTATTGTCTCAACATGTTCACCTTTTATGTCAGACTTGAGTCTGTCTATAGCTATAAAACATGTCCTGTTCTTGTTATTGTGGCCACACTGTTCATTTGGATTTGAATCCACTCTCCAGGCTCACTCTGGCCTCAGGCTGCTTTGTGTGCATTTTTATTTTTTTCAAAACGTGTGTGACACTTTTTTTTTTTTGTTCCTCCTTTGACACCAAAATACAAGAAAAAGCGGAATAAACCGGCCCGTGGGTTCTGCAGTGCCCCCTGCACGGTTCGTCAGGCGCCGTAGTGGCGTAAAGCCCGACGAACGTGAGGATGGTGATGACGTCAATGTGGAGCCAGGAGGAGGAGGAGGAGGAGGAGGAGGGAGTCTGTGCGGCTGCTGCAGCATCACTGTCAGCAGCGCGGTAGTGCAGAGAGGAGTCCGGCAGCAGCTCAGAGCGCAGGAGGAGGAACCGAGCCAGAGCACAGGACCGCGCAAGTTTGTGGAGGAAGAAGCCGACAGACGATCCCAGCCTTCTCCAGAGGAACACCTTCATCCTGATTGTTTTTTCACTTCCCCCTCCCCTCAATCACGCAAGGGAATGCCATCGATAAATATGAAACTGGAGATGGTGACCATCATCGCCTGCGAAGTAGACACCGAGGTGTTTACGTCAGACAAGATGCAGGTACGGTTTACCTCCGGGAGGGAAGGAAAGAAAGAAACGCGCACGCTGCAGCAGCAACGCACGGTTTCGCCCTTTGCGGTGCTGGTTGTGCAGACTCAGGACCGACTGCTGCTGCTGGATGCATGCATGTCTGGGTGACGTTGAATGCAGCCCTCTCTCTCTCCCTCTCTCTCTCTCTCTCTCTCTTTCTCTCAGACGAGGATTTTTATCAATGGGAGCCGCAGCTCGCCAAGACGCGCGTCCCGCACCGCACCGCACCGCACCGCACCGCACCGCGCCGCACCGCGCAGCCGTTCATTCTGGATCGATTCCAAAATTAGGCAAGAATAGCTATTTTAAAAAAAGCGATCCGTAATGCACCAGTGGTCGTGGTTTGGTGGGGGTCAGGGCGCCCAGTGGGCAGCAGTGTGGAGATGCTGCTGCGCAGGTTGGATGGAGGGTGTGATGGCTGGATGGTCCAGACACATGCAGGGAGAAGAAGTGAGGCAGCTTTTTTAGACGCAGTGGCAGACAGACCCCTGTTCTCCCCCCCTCGGTATCTGCCCTCTCCTCATCACAGCAGCATTGCAGGTGCACCAGGTTAGAAAAGACAAGAGCAGCTCATAGCAGAAGGATTTCAGAGCATTTTGTGAATAATCCTTTCAGACCAGCCTGTGTCGGCGTTATTCATGACATATAAGGAGTAGAACTGAAGTGTGACCAACATCACCAATCCCTGCAGTGATATTTTATTGATCTGTCCAAAGCCCTCAGGACACATCAGGTACAGGTATGTAGGCATGTGCTGCCTGTCAGTCAAAGAGCAGGGCAGCACTTGCACTGCGGTGTGTTCAAAGTGAGCCCTGGGACCCCAGCTCTGGTCCACGCCAGTTTTGGGGGCTTAGATGGTCTGCCAAAGCTCGACTCACCCACTAAACCCTTTGGAAATTCCATGTCAGAATATATTCCCTCACCTGCTGCTTGTCTGATTTGACTCATCAGCACAGAGACAGAGAGACGCAGAAAAGGGTGAAAAACCCAAAGAACAGAGCAGCTCACGTGTCTGGACAGGTCGGATCTGCTGTGATCAAAGTCTGTTCATTAAGTGCAGCCAGCGTACGTGAGGAGAAATTCTCTGGCATGGATGGACGTACGTTCATGTTTTCGTTCCCCTGAACTGCTTGTTCTTTGGTGCTGATGCGCTCCGGTGCGACGAAGGCTGAACTCAGCAGCAGCAGAAGTTGGTTTGTCCGCCCCGCCCACCGTGTCCTATGGCTATATGTACAGATATACATGTTCAGCACTAATCCTACCCATCGAAGGGTTTCTGCTCTGTGCATACATGGATTGTTGCTGACCCGTTTCCTTCTGGTTTTTTGCGATAGCCTGACCTGCATGCGCTCGTTATTTGGCATAAAAACACGGCACACATACGTCCAGATAGAGAAGCTGACCACTGAGTCACCCTGTGGTCTGCATTCAGCCAGCGAGCTGCAGGCAGCTGCTGTGTTTGTTCCCAACTCTCATTACAGTTCCTAAGTGCTGCCGACCAGCCAAGGTGAGAGACACCAACGAGTCACCCTGCATTCGCTCTCTAATTATAGGACAGCCGCCATCATCCTGGAGATTTCCTAGTAAATGTGAGTGAAAGACAAACACCTGCCAAGGCACACAGAGGGTTTCCACTCAGCTGGTAGCCCTCCTAACCAGCATATGAGACCTCCTGGTGTACAGCCTATGACCAGGGTTTGATTATTCCTTATTGTCAGAACCTGGTTGGTGCTGTTGGATCAGCTGTTCTAACCAGGACACACCGATCAGAGCCAGATCTTATCAGCCCTCTGCCCCCAGACTCAGCCAAAGGAAGAAACGAGGTTCTGTGCACAATTAAAAAGAGCAGACAGAGGGCTGACTTTCGAATGGCACAAAGAACACCACTAATCCTGGTTTCTGGCACACAGGCAGCGATGGAGAACGCTGGCGGAGGGCAGATTAAAGCAGGGCACGTGGGGAGCGGCCTCTGATTGAGCTCACCTCCCTGTCAGCCTGCTCCTCTTGTTATTATCATTCAACAGGATGTGAGCCCGTCTAAGGCTCCTGTTTTTATTAATACACCCAAATCTGAAGACTGGGGACAATCATCGGACTTGTGTTTCGCCGCAGAGCATTTTGGGCGAACTAATATGTGGATTGCTGCTATTTATAGAAGCTTCAAGGAAAGATTAGGCAACGACATCGATGTCTGACATGAAGGAAATAAGTGAATGGTGGCGTCTTTTTAATTAGAGGAGATGCTTAGCGAGTGACTGTGGTGTGCTCGGTGCCGTTGTTGTGATACGGGTGAAACGGCGTGCCCACGCCTTGGCTCGGTCCGTGCTGCTTACATCATTAATGAGCCAAACAGAGCGGCTGTGGACAGGACGGCTTGTTGGTAGAGTAACGGCAGAGCTGGTGCTACAGTACACGCTGATGCCAGAGAGCTCGGGATCCATTTTGGAGGAAACAAAAGGCTGTTGTTGCTGTGAGGCTGAGTGAAGCCGGAGCTGTAGCGTGTTCATCACAACACTGTCATTACCTGGAAAATCCACCGGCATCAGCAGATGATAGCACAGGACGCATGGTGAAGGTCACAGCACGACGGCATGCGGGGATATATCACACAGCGTGACGCGAGCCTGTACAGTCACCTCGCATGTCTGACTCCATGCATCTCATTCATCCATTCACCCGCCTGCCAGTTTGACGGCCGCCTATTGATTTGCTCTTTTATATAAATAATGAATCATCCTCGTCGACCTGCTCGTTCTCTCGATCAGCGCCTCTCCGGCTCCCAGTCAGCCGCCGCAGGAAACGTGTTTATTTCAGCTGCGAAGCGTTTTAACACATCAGGGCTTCAGGAGGCAAACAGGATTTGGACGTTCTGATCCCTTCACACTTAATTATACGCAAACCTGTCATAAAAGCAGCACGGAGGCCGCGTGGCGGAGGACGGCTATTTTGGACGGTGTGCCGGCGCTGCATCACGCCGACGACAGTAGTAACACTGACACAGTCGCACACGCTGCACAGTCACACACTCCAACCACAACAGTGAGTCAGCGGACTCACAGACCTACAGACAAACATCTCTGTCAGCAAACACGCGCCGCTCTCCGCCCAGGACGCCGGGAGAAGTTTCCATCCGCCCGGGTCACTTTCCACTCGTCCTCTCGTCTGTCCGTCGGCCCGTTTGTCCGTCACGTGTGTCGTATGTCTGTTGTCAGGCCTTGTGCTGGTCGTGTGGACGGAGGACAGACGTGATGACTGTCTGCTGTTTGTAGTTCTGCTGACATGTGTGATGTTTTCACTCTTTCCTGCCGTCTTTGTGCAGCCTTATGTAACGTGTTGTCATTCCTCTTGATTTATGAAGGTTATTTTGAGCTTCTAAGCAGCAAAGCGAGGCACAGAACAACGTGGCAGCTAATTACTGCATGTGATTTGCTTTCACTTATCAAGCCTGGGATGTTTCAGTAGGTTTGTCTAAATAGCACTCTGTCTCTGGGTAGCACTGGAGGTGTACATATTCAGGTTTTGATCACAGCTGAGAAGATAGAACAAGTTTAAACTGGGAATGTTTGTTGAAAAGATGATTTTTTAAAACCAGATCCTGCTCATATTTCTTCTTCACATTTAAACCAACTCTAAGCATCACATGATCTCAGTTGCCCATCAGTCTGCTCTGCATTATTTAAATATCTTTACATCTCAGGCCACACACATGTTTGACCTGAATGCTGAGGTGATCTCAGACGTACATATAAAAGCCAACACTGCTGTGACCGGCTGTTGGGTGAAGGCAAGAGGCAGAGGTGCAGCGGCAGGACAGACGGGATGGACGTAGACGGTGACGGTATCGTGTTCGGTGCTGGTAGGAAACCAGATCTGCGCCTTGGCAGGCTCGAGCGATCCTGGGTCTGAGCAGTGGCTCAGGTGTGCCTGCTCCCCCCGGTCTGGGCACTCGGCAGTTGGAGAGCCGGGCAGTTTGCATTTGCCTGAAACCCTAGAGAAGAGCTGGAGCTCGGGTGTCAGCTAAAGGTTAGCGCCGCGTCCGTTAGGGTGACGTAGAACAAAAGACGGTCTCCTGGGTGGGGTGTCCGGTTACCACGTGGCCAAGATGACACGACTATGAGTCGATAAGATTAGAAGCAAAGAAAAAAGGCAGCGGAACCAGGAGGCCCGGCACTTTACTGGCCTTTGTTCCTGAAGTCACTTATAGAACATAATTTTCTTGTCAGAATTTCCAATTGGGTTTCCAGTCCGACACAAATGGCCATGAGAAGACAAGACAGTTGTCGTGCCTAAAATAGCAATGTCAAACCAATTACCTTGGACAAGTCCAGTAAGGCTTCAGACCGGTACGTGGACCAATCAGCAGACTTCATACGTTACTGACGGCGTGGCAGCCGGTGTTTATGGTGTCAGAGAATTAATCGTCTTTCATAGTCAGTTAATTATTTATTTAAGTCATTAGTCAAGCAGAAATGACAAACGCTGCTGAGTTTAAGCTTCTAGAAGCATCGCAGTTCTCAGCTTTTATACGCTCATGTCTGTTTAAGTTGAATAACTCTGAGGTTCGACTGCTGGTTTGATGAAAGCATCGCCGGCTCCTGGAGAGCAGCTGTTCACAGTTCATGTCCTCTATAGAGCAATGAAGAAATGTGTTTTAACGAAGTGAAGAAGTGCTGAGCAGCAGTAACACAGGAGACGCTCTGTGTGAAGGTCCTGCATTCAAAATGGTACCGAACCAAAAGCTCAAGTCAAGAAAAGGACCTCAGATGTGCACCTGGTCCAGGGCAGAAACCTGGTTCATACCAGCTGTGCAGCGCGCTCTCATCTTTGTTCCTGTGATGCTTAATCATCACTTAAGATGCTGCATCGCCACAAGGGGATGCACTGATTACCAGCAGAGAGGCAGAGGAAGAGGGACGAAGGCAGGAGAGCAGTAAGAAGAACCGGGCCGGCCGTGAGCAGAGGACAGCATC